CACGGGGACTATCCAAAGAAGAAAGGGGAGGTGCTCCAACAGGGAGTGTTTGGGCTCCCTCCCCCAAGCAATCAGAGTCCAGCTGGTAACTGGGGAGGACTGGTAACCCAGCCCAAGCTGACCAGAAGCATCTGTCCTGATAGCTATTTTGCAAAGGGACAATCCTCCACAAAATGCTGAAAGGGGAAAGAAAAACCTATGCTGCAGTACCTAGACTTGAGACTGTGGACTGAGCATGGGTCTGGGACCCAGGAGTGGGACTGACCCTGTCACAGGGGTCACAGAATGAAATTAATAGGCAGCAGGTTTAAAACAAAGAAAAGGAAGTACTTCTTCACACAACACAGTCAACCTGTAGAACTCTTTGCCAGAAGATGTTGTGAAGGCCAGGACTATAACCAGGTTCAAAAAAGAGTTAGATAAATTTGTGGAGGATAGGTCATGACTATTAGCTAGGATGGGAAGGAATAGTGTCCCTCACTTCTGTTTGTCAGAAGCTAGGAATGGGTGACCAGATCACTTTATGATTATTTGTTCTGTTCATTCCCTCTGGGCACCTAACAATGGTCACTGTTGGAAGACATGGACCTTTGTTCTGCTCAATATGGCTGTTCTTATCTGCTTCTACATACTATACAGTGAAATATAAGTACAATAATTATATTCTAGTTAATGTATTTTATAACGACATTGTAAAAATGAGAAAATAAGCAATTTTTTCAGTAACAAATGTGCAATGGCACTTTATTATTTTTATGTATCATTTTCATAGCAGAATACTCGAACTGGAAGGGACCTTGACAGGTCAAGTCCATTCCTCTGCCCTCACAGCAGGACCAAGCACTATCTATATCATCCCTGATGGATATCTATCTAATCTGCTCTTAAATATCTCCAATGATGGAGATGCCACAACTTCCCTAGGCAATTTATTGCAATGGTTAACCACTCTGACAGTTAGGAAGCTTTTCCTAATGTCCAACCTAAATCTCCCTTGCTGCAATTTAAGGCTATTGCTTCTTGTCCTATCATCAAAGGTCAAGGAGAACAATTTTTCTCCTTCCTCCTTGTAACAACATTTTAGGAACTTGAAAACTGCTATCATGTCCCCTCTCAGTTTTCTCTTTTCCAAACTAAACGAACTCAATTCTTTCAGTTTTCCCTCACAGATCGTATTTTCTAGACCTTTAATCATTTTTGTGGCTCTTATCTGGACCCTTTCCAACTTTTCCATGTCTGTCTTGAAATGTGGTACCCAGAACAGGACATAATACTCCAACTGAGACCTAATCAGAGCAGAATAGAGTAGAAGAATTACTTCTTGTATCTTGTTCACAACACACCTGTTAATGCATCCAGAACCATGTTTGCTTTTTTTGCAACAGTATCACAATGTTCACTCATATTTAGCTTGTGTACCAGTATGACCATTCGATCTCTTTCTGCAGTACTCATTCCTAGACAGTCACTCCACTTTTTTTAAGCACTTGGAAGAGAGGACAATGATCAGGAATAGTCAACATGGCTTCACTAAGGACAAGTCATGTTTGACCCACCTGACTGCCTTGTCAGAACCATGTTTGCTTTTTTTGCAACAGTATCACAATGTTCACTCATATTTAGCTTGTGTACCAGTATGACCATTCGATCTCTTTCTGCAGTACTCATTCCTAGACAGTCACTCCACTTTTTTTAAGCACTTGGAAGAGAGGACAATGATCAGGAATAGTCAACATGGCTTCACTAAGGACAAGTCATGTTTGACCCACCTGACTGCCTTGTCTGACAAGGTGACTGGCTCTGTGGACATGAAGAAGGTGGTGGATGTGATGTACCTTGTCTTTACCAAAGCTTTTGATATGATCTCCCACAGCATTCTTGCCAGCAAGTTAAGGAAGTATAGATTAGATAATTGGGCTGTAAGGTGGATAGAAAGCTGGCTAGATTGTTGGGCTCAACGAGTAGTGATCAATGGCTCAATGTTTGGTTGGCACTTCATATCAAGTGGAGTGCCCTAAAGATCAGTTTTAGGGCCATTTTTGTTCAACATTATTATTAATGATCTAGATAAGGGGATGGATTGCACCCTCATCAAGTCTGCAGATAACACTAAGCTAGAGGGCTCTCCCTCTAGGGGATAGGGTAGGGATAGGGTCCAGACAAATTGGGAGACAAATTGGAGGATTGGGCCAAAAGAAATATGATGAGTTTCAACAAGGACAAGTGCAGAGTCCTGCACTTGGGATAGAACAAGCTGAAGCATAGCTACAGGCTGGGGACCAACTGGCTAAGCAGCAGTTTGGCAGAAAAAGACCTCAGGATTGCACTGGATGAGAAGCTAGATATGAGTCAACAGTGTGCCCTTGTAGCCAATATGGCTAACGGCATATTAGGATGCATTAGGAGGACCACTGCCAGCGGATCTAGAGAAGTGATTATTCCCCTTTATTCAGCACTGGTGAGGCCACCTCAGGAGTTTTGCTTCCATTTCTGGGGCCCCCTTTACAGAGAGGATGTGGACTCATTGCAGAAAGTCCAGTGGAGGGCAACAAAGATGATTAGGGGATGGCACACATGACTTACAAAGAGAGGTTGAGGGATTTGTGCTTATTTAGTCTACAGAATAGTGAGGGGGGATTTGATTGCAACCTTTAACTACCTGAAGGAGATTCCAAAGAAGATGGAGAGAGGCTGTTCTCAGTAGTGACAGATGACAGGAGCAATGGTCTGAAGTTAAAGTGGAGAAGATCTAGGTTTGATATTAGGAAAAACTATTTTACTAGAAGGGTGGTGAAGCACAGGATTAGGTTACCTAGGGAGATGATGGAATCTCCATCCCTATAGGTTTTTAAGTCCCAGCTTGACAAAGCCCTGGCTGGGATGATTTAGTTGGGGTTGGTCCTGTTTTCAGCAGGGGGTTGGACTCAATATCCTCCTGAGGTCTTTTTCAATCCTATGATTCCCATTCTGTACATGTGAAACTGATTGTTCCTTCCTAAGCGGAGTACTTTGCATTTGTCCTTATTAAACTTCATCCTATTTACCTCAGACCATTTCTTCGGTTTGTCCAGATAATTTTGAATTATGACCCTATCATCGAAAGCACTTGCAACCCCTCCCAGGTTAGTATCATCTTCAAATTTTATAAGTGTACTCTCTATGCCATTATCTAAATCATTGATGAAGGCATTGAACAGAACCGTTCCCAAAACTGACCCCTACGGAACCCCACTATATATGCCCTTCCAGCATGACTGTGAACCATTAATAACTACTCTCTGAGAATGGTTCTCCAGCCAGTTATGCACCTACCTTATAGTAGCCCCATCGAGATTGTATTTCCCTAGTTTATTGATAAGGTTATGTGAGATCATATCAAATATTTTGCTAAAGTCTAAGTATACCATGTCTACCACTTCCCCCTTATCCACAAGACTTGTTATCCTATCAAAGAAAGCTATCAGATTGGTTTGACATTTGTTCTTTACAAATCCATGCTGGCTACTACCTATCACCTTATTATCTTCCAGATGTTTGCAGATGAGTTCCTTAATTGTTTGATTATCTTTTGCACATAAGTTAAGCTGACGGCTTTGTAGTTTTCTTGGTTGTCCTTATTTCCTTTTTTATAGATGGGCACTATATTTGCCCTTTTCCAGTCTTCTGCAATCTCTCCTGACTTCCATGAATTTTCAAAGATTTTGTAAGTAAGTAGTTTTTAAGTGAAGTGAAACTTGGGGCTACATAAGACAAATTAGACTCCTGAAAGGGGTACAATAATCTGGCAAGATTGAGAATCACTATCCCAGATTAAGCATTTCTAAGAAACACGTGTTTAAAATATCAAGAAATTATTTCATTGTAACATTTGATTAGTTTACGTATGAGCAGCTGATTGTGGCAAGAGAAAGTTATATTTAAATTCTGCATCTAGCCAATAAATCTTTTAGGAGCCTCACTCTTCTTAAATAATATCCGTGGTAGAGCATGAATGACCTAGGGAAAAAATATTTTCTAAAATTCTCCAACTCCTGTTTATATTCTACTTCTCCTTAAATTGCTACTTCTCCATGAAAGATTTGTAGCCCCAGTGACTTTATTCAATTCGGGTATGTCTACACTTGCACCTAGTTCGGACTAGGGATGAAAATGCAGGCATTCGAAATTGCTAATGAAGAGGGAATTGAAATATCCAGTGCTTCAGTAGCAAGATCTCACCGATGTGCTAGTTCTAATCACAGCTGATTCGAACCAGGACGTGCGTGCTGGGACGCATTAGTTCGAACCAAACCCCTTGGTTCAAAGTAATGTTACTCTTCAAAAAATGAAGCGCAAGATATTTAAATCCCTGCTTCATTAGCAATTTCAAATGCCTGCATTTGCATCCCTAGTCCAAACTAGGGTGCAAGTGTAGACATACCCTTCCTCTCCCTGAAGATAAATATCATGACTATTCAGTTAAGAAAGAGGAACATTATCACAACTTTAAAAGTTGCTTTATATTTCTCACACTTTAAAAATGCCATATTATTCAGCTGTGAAAAATCACAGATCTGAAAACTGACTTCTATTACACTACCCAATAGTGGAGTTTTTTACCATATCTATTAAGCCTATAATAATTACAACTAGTTTCTGCTTTGGAGCTCTACTTCTACCAAGAGACTTTAGTAAACAGGCTAAATTGTGTGGGGTAAAGTGGGGTGATTTATTCAAGCTCTGTCTCCAGCCCCAGAATAGTTGTGTTTTTCTATTAACAATGTTGAAATTCTTATTATCAATAAACTTTTGAGTTAATATCATAGAAAAAGAGATAGGCTAGTTCACCTCTATCGTAGCACCAAATGATAATAATAATTGCATCACTAGTCCCTAAAGATGACTGATAGATAACCCCTTGGTTATCTACATGGTGACTTTAGACTAAAACTTAAAGGTAAACTGATACAGCACAAATAAAACAACATGCAATGCTTTCTACTCCACAGAGATTTACCTACATAAATATCTTTTTTTCTGTGACAAAAAGTTCTATGGTTGTAACACTGCTCAAACACTGATTGGTGGTCAAAAAGAATAAAGCACCAACTCTGTGGAAAGAATAAACAATTAGTAAGAAAATTATGCAAATAGTTTTTTGTGAATGAGGAAGAAATAGCTATGCCATTACTATATGAAAATGGAATCAAGATTCAGGAAGCAAATTAATTGTTTACTGCAAACAGTAGGCTTTTGATCTTATTTTAGAAAATAATCAAACTTCTGGCTGATGACAGATGAGCACCAGGGTTCCCTCTAAGCTGCGCACTTGCATGGGCATGCAGAAAAAACTTCCACCCCAACCATCACCTACACAGAGCTACACAGCTGCATAGCAGGTGGCTGCTCTGGTAGCCAAGGCCAGAGGAGCTGCGTGGCAAGCAGCAGGCTGCTGTTCCAGCTGCTGCATGGTGGGCGGTGGCAGTTTCAGCAGCCAGGGCTGGAGCCAGGTCTGTCCCAAAGCCTGCAAGGAAGACTCAGGGCAGGAAGGCAGTGAAGGCATCATTGGAATTTCCCCCATGTCCCCTGAGTTAAATCATTCCAGTGAATCATCCAAAATAATTTGTATCGAATATCAATTTTCTGTATGAACTTTTCCCTGGCTGCACAGGAGTATCTCTGCTGACATGGCTCCCTAATCAGTGGCGGCCCATCAATACAGGTAAATTAGGCAGTTGCCTAGGGTGCCAAGATAAACGCCGTTGAGGGCTTTGGAGGCGAGGGCACCGATCGCGTGCTGATTGCACATTTTGCCTAGGGCGCCAGTTGCCGGCAGCTCATCTAGGGCCGCTCCTGTCCCTAATTCTGCTGATAGGAGACAAGAATCATAGGACTGGAAGGGATCTCGAGAGGTCATCGAGTCCAGCCCCCCGCCCTCAAGGCACGACCAAGCTCCGTCTACACCATCCCTGACAGATGTCTATCTAACCTGTTCTTAAATATCTCCAGAGAGGGAGATTCCACCACCTCCCTTGGCAATTTATTCCAATATTTGACCACCCTGACAGTTAGGATTTTTTTTCTAATGTCCAATCTAAACCTCCCTTGCTGCACTTTAAGCCCATTACTCCTTGTCCTGTCCTCAGAAACCAAGAGGAACAAATTTTCTCCTTCCTCCTTGTGACATCCTTTTAGATATTTGAAAACCGCTATCATGTCCCCCCTTAATCTTCTTTTTTCCAAACTAAACAAGCCCAGTTCATGAAGCCTGGCTTCATAGGTCATGTTCTCTAGACCTTTAATCATTCTTGTCGCTCTTCTCTGTACCCTTTCCAATTTCTCCACATCTTTCTTGAAATGTGGCGCCCAGAACTGGACACAGTACTCCAGCTGAGGCCTAACTAGTGCAGAGTAGAGCGGCAGAATGACTTCACGAGTTTTGCTTACAACACACCTGTTGATACAACCTAGAATCATATTTGCTTTTTTTGCAACAGCATCACACTGTTGACTCATATTCAACTTGTGGTCCACTATGACCCCTAGATCCCTTTCCGCCATGCTCCTTCCTAGACAGTCGCTTCCCATCTTGTATGTATGGAACTGATTGTTCCTTCCTAAGTGGAGCACCTTGCATTTCTCTTTATTAAACTTCATCCTGTTTACCTCTGACCATTTCTCTAACTTGCTAAGGTCATTTTGAATTATGTCCCTATCCTCCAAAGAAGTTGCAACCCCACCCAGTTTGGTATCATCTGCAAACTTAATAAGCGTACTCTCTATCCCAATATCTACATCATTGATGAAGATATTGAACAGTACGGGTCCCAAAACAGACCCTTGCAGAACTCCACTTGTTATCCCTTTCTAGCAGGATTTAGCACCGTTAACAACAACTCTCTGACTACGGTTATCCAGCCAATTATGCACCCACCTTATCGTGGCCCTATCTAAGTTATATTTGCCTAGTTTATCAATAAGAATATCATGCGAGACCGTATCAAATGCTTTACTAAAGTCTAGGTATATGACATCCACCGCTTCTCCCTTATCCACAAGGCTCATTATCCTATCAAAGAAAGCTATCAGATTAGTCTGGCATAACTTGTTCTTCACAAACCCATGCTGGCTATTCCCTATCACTTTATTACCTTCCAAGTGTTTGTATATGATTTCCTTAATTACCTGCTCCATTATCTTCCCTGGGACAGACGTTAAACTGACCGGTCTGTAGTTTCCTGGGTTGTTCTTATTCCCCTTTTTATAGATGGGCACAATATTTGCCCTTTTCCAGTCTTCTGGAATCACCCCTGTCTGCCATGATTTTTCAAAGATCATAGCTAAAGGCTCAGATACCTCCTCTATCAGCTCCTTGAGTATCCTGGGATGCATTTCATCAGGACCTGGTGACTTGCTGACATCTAACTTTCCTAAGTGATTTTTAACTTCTTCTTTGTGGATCCTATCTTCTAAACTTACCCTCTCTCTGCTTGTATTCACTACGTTAGGCACACCTCCAGACTTCTCGGTGAAGACCGAAACAAAGAAGTCATTGAGCATCTCCGCCATTTCCAAGTTTCCTGTTACTGCTTCTCCCTCCTCACTGAGCAGTGGGCCTACCCTGTCCTTGGTCTTCCTCTTGCTTCTAATGTATTTATAAAAGGTCTTGTTTCCCTTTCTGCCTGTAGCTAGTCTGATCTCATTTTGGGCCTTTGCCTTTCTAATCTTGCCCCTGCATTCCCGTGTTGCTTGCCTATATTCATCCTTTGTTATTTGTCCTAGTTGCCATTTTTTTATATGACTCCTTCTTTATTTTGAGATCATGCAAGATCTCCTTGTTAAGCCAAGCTGGTCTTTTGCCATATTTTCTATCTTTCCTACACAGCGGAATTGTTTGCTTTTGGGCCCTAACAACGTCCCTTTGAAATACTTCCAACTCTCCTCGGTTGTTTTTCCCTTCAGTCTTGCTTCCCATGGGACCTTACCTACAAGTTCTCTGAGCTTATCAAAATCTGCCTTCCTGAAATCCATACCTCAATTGTGCTGGTCTCCCTTCTACCTTTCCTTAAGATCATGAACTCTATTATTTCATGATCACTGTCCCCCATACTGTCTTCCACTTTCAAGTTCTCAACTAGTTCCTCCCTATTTGTTAAAATCAAATCCAGAACAGCTTCTCCTCTGGTAGCTTTTTCAACCTTCTGAAACAGAAAGTTGTCTCCAATGCAGTCCAGAAACTTATTGGATAGCCTGTGCCCCGCTGTGTTAGTTTCCCAACATATGTCTGGATAGTTGAAGAAAGTAGCTGGGGAATAAACAGGAGGCGAGCCAGAGTCACCAAGGTTGCAGGGGTGGGAGAAAGCGTTAAACACACTTTACAGTAAAAAAAAACCCTAAGAAGGCAATGATAAAAGAGCAATTTTCTTCCTGTGTTATGTTAAGTATTCCTTCTTCTAATGAGCAGCAGGCAAGCCAACCACTTCCCCCATTTCACTTTTTTCATATGGGTTTTGTCTTTTATTTTGACCTCTTTTCATTTTAATGTGGACACCCTGCCTTATTCAGGGTGGTGCTAAGCCCCCACCCGGTCTGCTGAGCCGTATCAGATTTGCAAGCCTTCTCAGGATCAAGGCTAAAGAAAGGTGCCAGCTTTCTGCTTCTACAAGGGATTAAGAAGGATTTGTACCTGTTCCCATTTACACACAGGACATTACACATTTCACTGGTCAGCCATGATACTGCTGTGTCTTTAGTCCCAGGACAGATTCAGCATGATTAGGGGCAGAACAAGTGCCCCCTTGCCAAAGCATAAGAACTGTGCTGCAGAAGGGGTTGCTGTGGGAGGGTGAAATTCCAGGGGAAAATTGAAATGAGAGAGAGGACTTGTAAAACAACCAGAGCCAAAGAGCAGTTTGCCTCCTTCCCTGTCCCTTCTCCAAGGTCTTACTCTGCTTACTTTGTGGAGATGGAATACAGAGAAGGGAACATCTTGTTATCAGCACCCCCTCTTTTACCTCCTCTACCCTGCAGAGCAAGCAGGAGGTTCCTGGGGGGGGGGGGGGGGTAGCTCCAAGGTAGAGGACAGGAGTGTGGTAGGGTTGCTACCTATCTTGGAAAGGAAGATTGAAGAACAAATCTGTCACAGTGTCACGATACTGGGCCAGATTCTGCTCTAAGGTGATGGCTGGCACTACCCGTAATTGAGATAAGAATGTGGTTGCTTCTGAGCCAAGTTGCATCATGAGTGTGTGATGCTGTGCCAGGAGGGTTTCATGATAGCACATTGGGACAGAAAGTGGTCACCTGATATTGTGACTGGATGCTGTCATGCTGCAGTCCAGTATCATGACATCGATGCACTATGATCAGCGTCATGATGATGGAGTCGCTATGTGGGAGCCCAGGAGGAAGAGTAGTGGGGCAGGTACCAGGGTCAGTACCAGCGGGGGAGGAAGTTGGGCCAAGGATAGCTGGAGCCTAATGTTGAAGCTGGCCAGGTGGGGGGCTAAGGCACCAGCCATCTGTACTGGGGGAAGGTACTGGGTGCAAGTAAATTCCAGGGGTGGGGAGAGGGCGAGGTGCAGGGTTGGACACAGCTCTCTGGACAATGGTGCTTGGGCTGTGGGCCCCAGGCCCAGGTACTGGCTGTTTGTGTTTGGGAGGGGCAGTTAGCATGGCCCTGGAATATATAGTGGTGGCATATAAGGAGGCAGATTGCAAGGCTGGGCACAACTACGGGGGGAGGCAGTTAGCCAGGCCTATGCAGATACCAGCTGATTGTGTGTGCGCACAGGCAAATGGGGCATGCACAGTATGTGTTGGGGGCAGAGGCCAGCAAGCTGGGTGGTTTTCAGGGTGGCTGGGTGCAGAGTCATGCACCTTGTTAATGTTGTTAGTAATTGGTGGGTGCCACAGTGGCACACATACAAGCAAGCACACATGATGTTAATATTGGTGGAGAAGACAAAACTCACACTGATTGGATGGAAAATCTTAGAACACTGGTGGACGCTACTTCCTATATTGTTCATCAACTCCCTTTGTTGTATATACCTTAAGTACTGCTTCACTACAACATAACTTTATGGAGCTTATAAACTCAGGGAAGGAACTGTGTTTTTGTTTGTACCTGTACAATACCTTGCACAGTGGTATACTGGTCTATGGTCCCTTGATGCTAACACAGTACAAATAAACACATCCCATATTTCATCTCTCACAACTTCTTTAAAATATAATTTATTTTCTACAGTGTTCTACAGAACAAAGGCTAAGTGCAAAATCAAAAAAAAAACTAAAGTGTGTATTTGTATGCAAATATTTAGTTTCCATGCTTATTTACCTGTTTTGAATGCCACTGGAATCATTTTTTATTCCAGAGAAAATGACTCCTACAACTACTCCAAGACCAGTTGTAATACACAGCTGAAAGAAAAAATCAAGTAAGAATTTGCATGTTGTTACAGAAAATTATAATTGAAAATGTAATAATCACAGTAATGACTTAGCTAAACACCAGTAGCAGTTACTTATTAATGCAGTGACAAAAATGTTTAAAAAATACTGTAGAGTACTTCATTGTACTTCTATTTTCATTTTAAGTTCTGACAAGAGAATAATGTGATTTTATAAACAGAGTATTATATTACTAAAAATAGTTTAATTGCAGAAGATATAGATAACTACTGTACAGTTCAAATGTAGGAGGATTGCTTCAAACAGATATTAAAACTGATTTAATAATAAAGGGATCCAGAGATATGCTCCTTACTAGAAAATAAACATCTGGTTCTTTCACTATTGCCTCAGTAATCAGCTCTAATATCAGCACAGAAAGTCTGTTGTGGAGCCAAAGCAGGTCTCCAATGTAAACTCATGACAGCAATGAGAGAAAATAATTGGCATTCTGAAACGTTTCAGATTAAAAAGCAACATGAATAGCATCTACTAAAAACTGAAGTGCATCTGTGGACCAGGAAAAACAAAAGGAAGTGTGATACTCAGCACAGAAGATGACATAGAAAGATAAATTGACAAATTTGAAATTATGTCTTCCTGGAGGGCATCAGAAACATGTCATCACTAATTCTAAGAGGTCAGCTGATAATATAAGCAAGTCCAGCTTTAACATTTTTAAAAAATCAGTAAATATACATATCAGCTCAAAAGTCACTCCTGACTAGGACTTCTAGCTTTGTTATGAAAATACAGAATGTAACATATTCTTTGTAGATTATTTGTATCTATTTGGGAATTTGAAGTCAGCACGAGTGTCTAAGTTTTAATTATCTTTCCTATGTATCAGCAATAGAGTAGAAAATACAAGCGGATTTGCTTTCTATATATCTATGGTTTAAAGCTTTCATAGTTTTATAAATTTAAGATAAAAAGGAACCAATGTGTAGAGGAGCACATGGATTGGACATGGATCAGACAGACATCTCCTAGGGGAGGATCTATTAATAGAGATTCTGTATGTTCTAGAGGATGGAAGATGATAAAAGTATGGGTAAGATCAGTGCTGGCCTTACCACGAGGTGAACTGAGGCAGCTGCCTCAGGTGCCAGATTATGGGGGGGGGGGGGCACTTGGACCCAGAGTGTAGAAAATTGTGTCTGCTGCTGGTGCATATGTAAGTAGCAGAGCAGTACCATGAGAGGAGTAGAACAGGAAGAAGGCAGAATTGAGACCTTTCAAAGTTTTGGCCCAAGCAAGAGGACATGGAGGTGTCATTTCAGCTCCCCGCCCAAAATGTTATGGGCTGGCCCTGGATAAGATCAGGTGAGAAACAATCAAATGAAAATGAATCTAACACATCAGGCAATGGCGGACAGATAAATAGTGATGAGTTTTAAAGTGCTTATACATAAATGCTAGAAGTCTAAATAATAAGATGGGTAAACTAGAATGCCTCATATTTAAAGGAAAATTTTGATATAATAGGCATCACAGAAACTTGGTGAAATGATAACAATCAATGGGACCAGGGTACAAAATATATCCTAGGTTCAGAACAGGTTGTGCTGGTGGGGGAGTGGCATTGTACATGAAGAAAATATAGAATCAAATGAAGCAAAATGTTCCATAGAATCCCTATGGATATTAATTCCATGCTCTAATAATAAGAATATAGCAGTAAGGATATATTATCGACCACCTAACTAGGATAGTGATAGTGACTATGCAATACTATCAAAATAAAGAAATTCAATAATATTGGGGGATTTCAACTATCCCCATATCGACTATCAACTATCCCAATAACCCCATTCAACTCAGGACAGAATGCAGAGATAAAATTTCTTGATACTTTAAACTTAAAAAGCAACAAATAGTCTGGTAGTACTTTATAGACTAACAAAACATGTATGGTATCATGAGCTTTCGTGGGCACAGCACGCTTCTTCAGATGACCGGAGTTTTGAGTTTAGGACGTCCAGGCTGAAAATATAACATAATATATAGTAAAAAACCAAAATAAAATATTTTGGGCCTAGACATCCTAAACTAAAAACATTGGTCATCTGAAGGGGTGGGCTGTGCCCATGAAAGTTCATGGTACCAGCTACATGTTTTGTTAGTTTATAAAGTGCTACCAGACTATTTGTTGTTTTTTAAGTTTATCCTGTACAGACTAACTCGGCTACCCTCTGAAACTTTTGATACTTTAAATCAGTGTTTCTGAAGGTGTTCCATGGGAACACTTAGAGAAACACATTAACTGTCTGCCCTGGTGTGTTTACTTACTGGTGCAGTGGTCACAGAGCCTCATGGCTCCCATTGGCTCTGTTTCACTCTTTGCAGCTTCCCGCGGTTCCCCTTGGCTCCAAAGGATGAAACAGAGCCAATGGGAGCTGCGAGTCTCTGTGGCTGCGGCGCCCATAAGTAAACACACAAGGGCAGACAATCAATGTGTTTCTCTAAGGGTATGTCTACACTGCCCCCCTAGTTCGAACTAGGGTGGCTAATGTAGGCATTCGAAGTTGCAAATGAAGCCCGGGATTTAAATATCCCGGGCTTCATTAAGGGTGCGCGGGGAGTCTCTGTGGCTGCGCCGCCCATAAGTAAACACACAAGGGAAGACAATCAATGTGTTTCTCTAAGGGTATGTCTACACTGCCCCCCTAGTTCGAACTAGGGTGGCTAATGTAGGCATTCGAAGTTGCAAATGAAGCCCGGGATTTAAATATCCCGGGCTTCATTTGCATCTTGCCGGGCGCTGCCATTTTTAAATCCCCGTTAGTGCGGACTCCGTGCCCGCGGCTACACGCGGCACGGAGTAGGTAATTCGAATTAGGCTCTCTAATTCGAACTACCGTTACTCCTCATGGAACGTGGTGTACCGGTAGTTCGAATTAGAGAGCCTAATTTGAACTACCTACTCCGTGCCGCGTGTAGCCGTGGGCACGGAGTCCGCACTAAGGGGGATTTAAAAATGGCCGCGCCCAGCAAGATGCAAATGAAGCCCGGGATATTTAAATCCTGGGCTTCATTCGCAACTTCGAATGCCTACATTAGCCACCCTAGTTCAAACTAGGGTGGCAGTGTAGACATACCCTAAGTGTTCCCACAGAAACACTTTCAGAAACACTGCTTTAAATGACTGCTTCTTGGAGCAGCTGGATCTGGAACCTACAAGGGGAGTGGCAATTCTTGATTTAGTCCTAATTGGAGTATAGGATATAGTCCAAGGGGTAAATATAACTGGCCTGCTTGGAAATAGTGACCATAATGCATTAATTTCAGAAAGCGGAACTACACAAAATGAGGAGGTTAGTTAAACAGAAATTAAAAGGTACAGAGACGAAAGTAAGATTCCTGCAAGCTGCATGGAAACTTTTCAAAGAGACCCAACTTAAATGTACTCCAAAATAAAAAACACAGTAAAAGAACAAAAAAAGTGCCACTGTGGCTCAACAACCTAGTAAAAGAAACAGTGAGAGATAAAAAGGCATTGTTTAAAAAGTGGAAGTTAAATCCTAGTTAGGCAAATAGAAAGAAACATAAACTCTGTCAAATTAAGTGTAAAAATTTAATATGAAAAGCCAAAAAGGAGTTTTGAAGAACAGCTAGCCAAAAAATCAAAAATAGGAAAATGTTCTTTTCAGAACATCAGAAGCAGGAACTGCTAAATAATTTCTCAAAAGACCGGAAACAAAGGTTAGAAATAAATGGTAAGTTTTCAGAGTGGAGAGAGGTAACTAGAGGTGCCCCCCAAGGGTCTGTACTAGGACCAATCCTATTCAACCTGTTTATAAATGATCTGGAGAAAGGATAAACAGTGAGGTGGCAAAATTTGCAGATGATACTAAACTGCTCAAGATGGTTAAGACCAAAGCAGACTATGAAGAGCTTCAAAAAGATATCACCAAACTAAGTGATTGAGCAACGAAATAGCAAGTTAAAATGAATGTTGGGAAATGTAAAGTAATGCACATTGGAAAAAATAATCCTAACTATACATACAATATGATGGGGACTAATTTAGCTATAACTATTCAAGAGAGATTTTGGAGTCATTCTGAATAATTCTCTGAAAACATACACTCAATGTGCAGCAGCAGTCAAAGAAGCAAACATAATGCTAGGAAACATTTTAAAAGGGATAGCGAATAAGACAGAATATCTTATTGCCTCTATATAAAACCATTGTTTTATATCTTATTGCCTCTATATAAAACAATACTGCGTACAGATGTATTGGATGTATTGGTATTGAAAAAGGTTCAGAAAAGGGAAACAAAACTGATTAGGTGTTTGGAATGGGTCCCCTATGAAGAGAGATTAAAAAGACTAGAAAAACAACGAGAAGTGCTCTGGCACTTTATAGACTAACAGATTTATTGAACCCTTTGTTTGATGCAACTCATTTTAAATAAACACTCACCCTCTAGTCCAGTGGTCTCCAACCTTTTTACACCCAAGATCACTTTTTAAATGACAGAACAAGCCAAGATCTACCACCCCGCCCCTTCCTTGAAGCCCCGCCCTCTCCATTCTTCTCCTCTCTATCACTTGCTACCCCCAACCCTTATACTGCTACTTTTTTCCCCAATTTTTCTGTAGGAAGAAGTTTTTCCAACGTTTGGCCTGTCTAGACTGGACCAAATGTCAGAAAAAAACCTTCTTTTGGAAGCCCCCTTATTCCTCATGGAAAGAGGCATATAGGAATGACCGAAAGATCATGTTTGCTCTTCCACTAAACAAAGTGGAAGAACAAACGCATCCCTGGATACAGAAGAGTTTTTCTGGGATATGTCCAGAATCCTAAAAAACTCCTGCAGTCTAGCTGTACCCTCTCGCTGGGTTGAGACAGGATGTGTAGGCTCCAGGGTGGGAATAAGGGATTTGAGTGTGGGAAGGGGTGAGAAGTGCAAGCTCTGGGAGGAAATCTGGATGCAGGAGGAGGTGGATAAGGGAACGCT